ATTTCTTTGGCTGTACATGATGTAGACTTACACTGTTCCTTCAATCATACATGTATATAGGGTAATATAATGTTCATCTCTTTCCACTATCCTCTCTACCCTTATACCCCTCCTCTCCCCTCTGCCCAATCCAAAGTTGCTTCATTCTCTCCCCACCCACCCCCATTATGGATTAGCATTCACTGATCAGAGAAAACATTTGGTCTTTGGTTTTTGGGGTTTGGCTTATATTGCTTAGCAAGATATTCCTCAACTTCATCTGTTTACTTGTAAATGCCATAATTTTATTCATCTTTAAGTCTGAGTAACACTACATTGTGTATATACATCTCATTTTCTTTATCCATTTACCTGTTGAAAGGCATCGAGATTGGTTCCATAGTTTAGCTATTGTGAATTGAGCTGCTATATACATTGATGTGGCTGTGTCACTGTAGTATGTTGATTTTAGGTCCTTTGGGTATAAACTGAGGACTGGGATAGCTGGGTCAAATGGTGGTTTTGTTCCAAGTTTTCTAAGGAATCTTCATACTGCTTTCCAGAGTGGTTGCATCAATTTTTACCCCCACTAGCAATGTATGTGTGTACCCTTTACCCCACATCCTTGCCAACATTTATTGTGCTTGTATTTTTTTTAAAAATATTTTTTAGTGGTCAATGGATTTTATTTTATTTATTTATATGCAGTGCTGAGAATCAAACACAATGCCCCACACATGCTAGGCAAGTGCTTTACCATTGAGCCACAACCCCAGCCCTGTTGTTTGTATTCTTGATAATTGCAATTTTGACTGGAATGAGATGAAATCTTAGTTTTGTGTTTCTTTAGTTGCTAGAGATGTTGAACATTTTTTCATATAGTTTTTGATTGGAATGTATATCCTCTTCTGTGAAGTGTCGTTTTAGTTCCTTAGCCCATTATTGATTGGGTTATTTGTTGTTTTTTTTAAGGTGTTGTTTTTGAGTTTTTTATATATCTTGGAAATTAGTGGTCTGTCTGATGTGTGCATGGTAAAGATTTCTCCCAATCTGTTGAAGAGGCTATCTTTTCTCCAATGTATGTTTTTGGTACCTTTCTCTAGTATGAGATATCTGTATTTATTTAGGTTTATAAAAAGAAAACCTGCTGGGCTGGGGTTGTGGCTCAGTGATATAGAGCTTGCCCAGCCCTTGTGAGGCACTGGGTCTGATCCTCAGCACCATATAAAAATAAACAAATAAATTAAAGGCATCGTGTCCATCTACAACTAGAAGAATATTAAAAAAATAAATAAAACCTATCAGAGTGGCAATATCATTTTACATTATCACCAGTAATTAATGAGAGTTTCTGTTGTCCCACATACTACCAGCTTTTATTATTTTGAATTAGATATTTGCCATTCCAATTGGAATATAGTAGAAATTGAAGGAGTGGTAGTAAATGTAAGTCAGGGCTAGAATCTGCCCTCTAGGAACATTCTAATAGGTCACACAAGATAATATACATTGAAAACAATTATACAAGGTAGAATGTGAACATGTGCCATCAGACTGAAATTAGGTAATGTGTTGTTATTAATTCCAATAATTTGGGTATGGAAAGAGAGTAACTGCACAGTGAATTTGAGAAATAGCTGGAGACTAGGCTGGGTATATAAAGGTCAGTCAAATCTGGATATTCATAGTCGTTTCAGATTGAGATTAATACTAAAATGTCCCCTTTGGATGGAGGGAAGGGTTTGAGTACAGATACAGAAATATGGAGATACAGATGCAGAGGAATGCTGAACTGGACTAGTCATGGTTTTCATTTAGAGAAGTGTTATAAATAAAAATTTAGGTTTTGGAATCTGACTACACTAAAATCCTGGTTCCCACATTAACTGGCTGTAAAGTTGTTTGTTTTTTAAATATCTTTAAACTTTATTTGTAAAGTGTAAATAACATCAGAACATATCTTATAAGGTTGTTAGGAGGATTAAATGAGGTGATTAGGTCAAGTGCTTGTCATATATGGTCCATGGATATTTGCTGTATAAAGTGTGTTCTTTAAGCAAAACTTTGAAAAGGAAGTCCTTCAAATGAACAAATGAGAGGGAAGCTACATTGGTTGGATCTGGTAGATGTTGAGTACGATGGAGATCTGGAGATCCTTGGCTCAGAGAATGGCCTATTATATGTAAAGGGAAGTTTTTGTGAGTGATCGACAGACAGTGGAATCACTATATTATTTAATAGATCATGGTACCTTGCAGAGGGTAGTTCTTGGAGCTTCCTTCTTTGATCATTTTGTGTCAGGACCTGGGGTGTGATTAATGGGGAATGCCCCACATTGAATACTAGCTAGATTCCATGGCTTATCTCCATTACTGTTTTCTTTTCTACTTCATGTTTAAAATGTTGGGGAAGTGGTTAGTGGGTATTATTGCTCATTATCTCTCAATTCCTGCCTGGTTTAAAAATTGTTATGTATTAAAAATAAGTATACCATTGTTTACATACCTAAATGAACCTGGATTTTTAACAATGATTATGATAAATTGGTATTCTGAAATAAGTGGGCTTTTTGAGGTGGCAATTATATTTTTATGGATTAAATTGGTCTTTTTGAGTCTGTTTATGACCATACTCAACAAAACAGATGACTCTATATTGATCTTCCAGTATGACTTTCAAGGAAAGAGTGAGATGAGAAAGAGTCTATAGAAACAAAGGGGATTGAGCAGAATTTTCCATCTTGTTGGTAGGATTAGAAGCAGGAAGCAATGGTGATTAAATTGGAGAATGGGTAGACACACTTATAATGGGTAGAGAAAGATTACAGGGGAAGCTGAGGGAGGTATGAATTGAATTTTGAAACTGGATAGTCTTAATGATATGGATTCTTTCAGGGGTGGGATATTGGGATGGTACCCTTCATATAAGTTCATATGTGTGCTAAGGCAGGTTTGTTTGTTTTGGTTTAGAGCATTATAGTAACTTTTTGACTGTGTGTGTGTAAATTAAGGAGGGAGTATGAGATTTATAATTTAGATTATTTGGAGTTGAAATTATAAAAAGATAGTTCTAACTCACTTAAAATTTAGCAATGTGTAAACATGCATCAGTGGCTTCTCTTAAGGAAATACTTCAACTTAAAAATGTTTTTATTAGTGCACTATAGCTATACATAATAATGGGGTTCATTTTGACAGAATCATAATTTGTTCCATTTTAGTCTCTGGTACCTTCTCTCTTCCTCCCCTCCCTGTCCCCCTTTCCTCTGCTCCACTGGCCTTCCCTCCCATCTGTTTATTGGTTTTATATGTTAGTACTTTATGGGGTACCTAAAGGTGGAATTCACTGTGGTACATTGACACATGGACACAGCATAATTTGGTCCATTCCACTGGTCTCCCATTTTTGAATGTACCACACATTCAATGTGGTACATTGACACATGGACACAGCATAATTTGGTCCATTCCACTGGTCTCCCATTTTTGTAGTGTTGTTCTCCCTTCTTCACCCTTATTTTGCTCTATCATCTACATATGAGAGAAAATATTAGACCCTTGACTTTCTGAGTCTGGTTTATTTCATTTAGCATGATATTCTCCAGTTCCATCTATTTACCAGCAAATGCTATAATTTCATTCTTTATAGTGGAATAAAACTTCTTTGTGTATATATACCTCATTTTCTTTATCCCTTTATCTGTTGATGTGCACCTGGCTGGTTCTATAATGTGACTGTTGTGAGTTGCACTGCTATAAACAGTGATGTGGCTGTATTACTAGAGTATGCTGGTAAATATCAAGGAGTGGGGTAGTTGAGCCATGTGGTGGTTCTATTCGCAGTCTTTTGAGAATCTCCATACTGCTTTCCAAAGTGTTTGCACTGATTTGCAGTTCCACCAACAGTGTATGAGTATACCTTTCTTCCCACATCCTCATCAGCTTTATTATTATATATGTTCTTGATAATTGCCATTCTGACTGGAGTGTAGTTTTGACTTGCATTTCCCTGATTGCTAGGGATGTTGGACATGGTTTTATAATTTGTTGGCCATTTGTATATCTCTCTCTTTTTTTTTTTTTTTTTTTTTGAGAAATGTCTATTTAGTTCTTTTGCCCATTTCTTGATTTTTTTTTTTTTGGTATAGTTTTTTGTGTTTAGTCTAAGTTTTGTGCCAGTTTTATCCTTTGCTTTCCCTTTTAAATTTCAACTCCTTTCTGTTTTATACTCTCTAGATTAAGATTACGTGAGAAATAATTAAAACTTGAGCCTAGCCATATTGGAGACAATTGCAAAGTGAATAAAAGCTGATTTTTTGTTTGATATAAGTTATACAAATATATGATTTTTGAAACTTCTTTGGGCAATTTTTCTAAATTTTGAGGCACAGATTCTTTTCAGTATTAATCTCATCAGTATAATAGATCCTAGACTTACTTTTTTTATTTTTTAAAAAATGGCAATCCTTTATATGCTTTTAAGTTTATAATCACATTAGATTTTATTTTTATAAAATCTAATGTGATTATAGCAAATATTTACTTTGGTTTTTTGGACTGATTCTTATATTTAGATATTTTGTGCTGTAGTCTGACAGTCTGTATATTTGGCTAAGAAAACATAGTAGCCACCAGGCATGGTGGTACATGCTTGTAATCCCAGAAACTTGGGAGGAGGATTGAAAGTTCAAAGCCAGAATCAGCAATTTAATGAACTTAAACCATATCTCAAAAAGGGCTAGGAATGTAGATCAGTGGTAAAGTGCCCCTAGGTTCAGTTCCTGGTACCAAAATAAACAAACAAACAAAATGAAACGAATCAAGCAAACAACAACAACAAAAAACCCTTATAGTTGCTAACTAGAGATAGTCTCTATAATAGGATCAGGATTTAAACAGTGCTATAAAGAAATGATAACTCAATGAATTAAAAAGTCACTATGGTGAATATTTGTTTTTTATTATCTACTCAAGATTTACATTAAAACTGCACTTCATGACATTGTTTTCTTTCTGATTCAGTTTTCAACTTGACCAACAATGTGGATTTGGAAAACACCAAAAAGAAAATGGAACTATACCAGAAGGAAAACAAAGATATCATTCAGAAAAATAAGTTAAAGCTGGTTGGTTGCTATGTATTTTCTTTTTTCTTTTGTATTATGAACAGTTGCTTTCACATGATACTTTAGAAGGCTATCTTTCTATAATACCAGTTGTATTTATAAGGAATTGAATGGAAGTTTATGTCAGAATACTAATATGTTATAAAGATATGTAGGTAGGCATGTACACATTACTGTAGCAAAAGCAATTTGACAGTGTTATGTGAAACTGTGCTTTCTTAAGAAAATAAATCCTTAAGGTAGGTGGTTGTAAATGCTAGTTTTATCTGTCTTTGTGATTCTCTGATAAGTATGTATTTGGATAATGGTCACAAAATAATGGAAGCTTATGTTTATCCTTGAACTTTAATTTCTTTTTCATCTAAAGCAGGGGATAGTAGAGGGAACTCAGACAGATATTGATGGAGATAAAGACACCATTTATTAGAAACTAAAACAAATTTATAGTTAAACTGGAGGAACAGATGTGTTACCTAAGCTTAACTTTGGTTTTTCTATTAGGTACTTTTTTTTTTGGTTTGATTAATATAGTAATATTACCACATACAAAATTAATTTTGGTTTGCTTTGTTAATCTATATCAAAATTTGTTTTTAAATATTTTAGTAATTACAATTCATTATTAAAAATTATTCTATAAAGGAAAAAGAATAACTTGCTCACAGATGCAGTTGTGTAATTTATAAAATTTAGCGATCATTTTTATCTTGCAACTTGACATTCTAGTTATGGGGGAAAGTAGAGGTTAATTACTTTTGACATACCTTCTTCACTAAAATGACATAAGTTTATTTGTATCATGTAGCTTTCATTTTGTGATTAGAAGGGGCTTCCTTATAATCTTACAGTGTTTCATTTAGATACTTCTTTCCTGCCATAAAATTCTCATGGAATTGATATTACATTCACATTCCCAGCTTAGCTTTCTTAAAAAAGATACCTCAATAGTGTGTGGGCCTTCCTTTTTTTTAAATCCCATAGTTTTGAGCTAGGAAATAATATTGAGAGTTATAATGAAAGAATAATCTAATTCTAGAATGATTGTATTTCTTTAAAGTAGGAATTTTTAATTATCTGGGAATATAGGTCATTGACTAAAAGAGATAACTTTATTTATGCATATTTCTTCTGTATTAATGATTAACACATGGTTATGTTATAACTTTTTGTGAATAATTCATTATCATTTATTAATTGATCATTCTGTGCAGTGTATCATACTTGTTAGTCCTGCTTATATGAGAGTTTGGTATTGATACAAACATACAGATTCAGGACCACATTTTTTTTTAGAATGGTGCTAGTTAACATACATCATTGCTTGAACATGCCCTGAAGTGACCTATGGAGCATGAGCTAATTTACATGTCTTTTTCTAATCTGAGGTAGTAACTTGCTTGTGACTCTGAATGTTGAATTCTCATTATTCCAAAAATATTAGAGATGTATGAAAAAAGAAAGGTAAAGAGATCTCTTGCTTGATTAGGCACATAAAATGACTCATTTCTGATGGAGAAAATATTACTGAATTTTTTACTGAGCAGGTCTTATTTGTTGACATTTAACATCTGTGTAAGCATGGAAAAACTAAACTGTGGTGATCTAATCTTGAAATAAATCTTAGTTAAGATTAGCTTAATTTTCATTTTCAGTTTTCTAGATTCTCATGCATAGCAGAGATTGCTATGTAGAATGTCTAATAATTTGGCAAAAATTCATTTAAAAATATTTGTTACACATCTGGTAAGCATAGGGTATTATACAAAAATAAATACCCTCATTCTCAATAGATCAGGTAATTTCACAATATTTGGATCACTGTGAAAGAATTATATGCCTGTTATTAAGGGAGCAAAGAGTAGAGATACTTGATTTATTCTGTAAGACTGGGAAAGGCATTCCAAGAAAAATGCCTGAATAGACTTCTGAAGGACAAGTAGAAGTTACCCAGGTGAGGAAGTTGAGATGAGTGGGGTTAGGGAGACTAGCACAATGACATTCCAGGGAGAAAGCAATCATAAGCAAAGGCAAGAAGGTATGGATAATCATGGAAAGTCCTGAGAGTTGTAAGTAATTCTGTATTATCAAAGTCAAGAGAGAGACTGAAACTGGAGGATTAGAAAAGACCTAGAACACATAAGAACTTCAGTTGTCTTTAGGTTTTAGTAGGTGAAATGGTCCATCCCTGCCATCTCCATGAAAGGTTACTCAGAATACTCCAGTTGACATGACTATGGAATGAGGGATGGCCTGGGTTCTCATTTACTCAGTTCCTTCATTAGATTATCTTCAGACATCTGTTATTGGCAGCTTTTTTGTTATTGTAATAAAATGCCTGAAATAACTTAAGAAGAAGAAAGGTTATTTTGTACTCATCTTTGAAGGACTCAGTTCATAATTGATTGGTCCCATTGCTTTTGTGCCTGTGGCAAGGTAGTATTTCATGGTGAGAGCATATGGCAAAGGAAACTGTTTACCTCAAGGAAGCTGGGAAGCAAAGAGAGAAAGAGGAGGGGCATACCACCATATGACTGTAAGACTTCCAACTAGGTCACACCTCTTAAAGGTTCTGTTATCTCCCAGTAGCACCAGGGACTGGGAATCAAGTATTGGTAACATCAAATATTGGTGTTTGGAGGACACTTACTGACACCATAGCAGCATCTTAGAGAATTCCCTGGATTTGTTAGAGAAATTCCTTAGAGCTCTTCCCTTGCTATTAGAACTCTTGCTTTCTGTGGAGTCATATCATTATTTTTCTCATTCTGTTATCTTTCTTTTTCGTTCTCTTGGGAACCTTTTCTTTCCTTCCTGTCTCTTAAATATAGGTTCTACATAAATTCCTTTTAGTGATTCTCTTTGAGTTATCCCTTTATGATAAGTACTCTCAAATATTTTTACAGCCAGTTGTTTTTTTTCCCCCTGAGCTCTTAAATGTAATGTATCCATATATATGTGGTATTAATAGTTATTTTTGTCTTGATGTATCATAGACACCTGTAATTCAGTATTTTCAGAACCTTTTTTTAATCTTTGCTTTCCAGTTTCTTTAAGTGTTAAAAAGTTTTACTATATTTTGTATAGTAAGAATAGTTAATATTGTATCTATCATTTGAGCACTTGTATAATACACTTAAAAATTTTACAGGTCTCTAAAACTTGTTCATGTTGTTTTATGAAATTTTAGGTCTGTTGGTTAGTAACTCTCCATTCCCACTCCCCAGCTCTTGACAATCACTATTTCACTCTTTGATTCTATGAAATTTCACTACTTTAGGTACCTCATATAAGGGGAGTCATAAAGTATTTGTCATGCTTGATATGATTTTAGTTTTCTTAAATTTATTAAGGTGTGTTTGGGTGACTTGTGATCCATGCAGAAAAAGTTTTGCGTGTGCTTGAGAATGACATATATTCTGCTGCTGTTGGGTTAAATGTTCATCTATTTTGTCTATAATGTTCAAGTCCTGCGTTTACTTTTTGATCTTTTGTTTGGATGTTGCATTTATTATTGAAAGTAAGCTGTTGAGGTCTTTTACTGTCTGTATTGCTATTTATTTCTTCATTCAGTTGTCAGTGTTTGATTTATACATTTAGGTGCTCTGATGTTGAGTGCATATATGTTTAAAATTGTTAAATCTTTCTATATGTTACTCCTTTTATCATTATAGAATGTCTTTCTTTGTCTCTTGTGACAGTTTTTGAATTAACTGATTTTGCTTTGTCTCTTATAATGTTTTTTATCATAGTGAATCTATCCAAATGTTCAGGCTGAACCCGGGTCACTCCTTAGGTTTTGCTGATCATCAGTTTCTTGCCATTTTTTAAATCTGGTTCCTCCTCTGATTCTATTATTATTTACTTAAGGATCTTTTATAATTTCTTATCTGGATTATTGGAATATTCTTCTGACTAGTCTTTCTATTGTCAGTCTTGAACCCTGTTGATCTATATTCCCTACTGTTTCTATTCATCTTTCTAAACCCATTCCTCAGGTTTTCTTAATGTCTTCTAGTTGCCTTAGTATGGTATATGTTCCTTTAGTGTGGTACAGTAGACCCTCTGCTTTCCTCTTCAGTTATATCTGAAGCTTTTTTTTTTCTACCCTCATACTTCATGACTAGGCCTATGAAGCATCCCAGCTTCCAGCTTTTTTTCTTGTCTTTCCTCCTTTTTTCTCTTTGCTTACATGGCTATTTACTGTCAATGGGAGTAAATACTTACTGTTTGAAGTCCTTAGCTGGAATTCCATGTATTATTTTCCCAGAACTTTGTAACAGATTACCAAAAACTGGATGACTTACGACAACAAGAATTTGTCTTTGCTCCATTATGGAAGTTAGAAATCTAAATTCAGGGTGTTAGTATTTTTCATGGTTCTAGAGGAGACTCCTGTTTTGCTGTTTCTAAGCTCAGGAATCTGCCAGCAATCTTTGTCATTCCTAAGTTTATAGATACATCACTCTAATCTTTGCCTTTCTCAGGTCTTCACAAGGTCTTCTTCCATGTTTGTCTTTGTCCAGATTTCTAGTATGACCTTATCTTAATTTGATTATATCAGCAAAGATCTTATTTCTAAATGAGGTCACATTTATGGGTATCAGGAGTTAGGTCTCTGTATTAGTCAGGGTTCTCTAGAGGAACAGAATCAACAGGAAGTATAATCATAAAAGGGGGATTTATTAGGTTGGTTGTCTTATGTGACCAGAAGCTGGATAGTCCACAGTGGCTGTATACAGGCTGGAGAGCTGGGAAAACGAGTGGTTGCACAGTCCAAGAGGTTGAAGCCCCAGAACAAGAGGAATCAATGGTGCTACCCTAGTCCTAAACTGAAGGCTTCTGGAGAATCACTGGCAGAGTCCGCTTTGGAAGAGTGAAGGAGTGAGAGTTTGATATACTCAGATGATCACAGCAGCAATCAAGAACCAGTTCAAGAAGAATTGAGCTAGCGTCTGCTGCTGCTTCCTTGTTCTTCCAACTTTTATTCTGTCCAAGCCCTCATCCTATTTGATGGTGCTGCCACGCTTAGGGAGGATCTCCACTTCAATTGGCTATCCCTCATTGTCACACCCAAAAGCCCCTTAATCACCAGCCCTTCTTAATCCAATCAAGTTGAGGATTCAAATTAACCATTGCAGTCTCTAACATATCTTTATAGGGGATACAGTTGCACTCATAACACTGTGTATGAAACCTTTTCTTATTCTGCTGTTACTTCCAAGGAGAATTTATCTCACTGTCAGTTGTGTTCTCACTATATACCTGTGTACCTTACAAAAACATGTCATTCTTAATTGCAAACACAAATACCTCCCATGTACTGTTAATATAACCTTTTTACATTTATTGCTATTTATGCTTCTTAAGTTGGAAGCCTGAGCTAGAGTAGAGACTTTGGTAGTAGAGGTGGAGAAGTTTGTAAGATGTGTGAGAGAATTCATAGGACTTAACAGTTGATTTAATTTAAAGAGAATGAGGGAGTAGAGAGAGTAAACAAGGATGACTTTGAGATTGAATTGACTCAAGATATTGTTGTGCTCCTAGAAGAAATAAAAAATATAGGAGAATAGATACTTAAATTAGTTTTGCACATACTGAATTTAAAGTATATAAGTAGGGGCTGGGCTGTGGCTCAGCAGTAGGACACTTGCCTGGCATGTGTGAGGCACTGGGTTTGATTCTCAGCACTGCGTATTAATAAATAAAGGTCTATCAACAACTAAAAAATAAAGTATATAAATAAACACTTTTTCTGCATGGGAACTCTTTTTTTTTTTGGTGGTGGTGGTGGGGTAGTTTACCTAATATGTGAATTGAAAAAATAAAGATCATGTTAAATCCCTTAAAGTGAATGACTTTAAACTGTCTGTAATAATCATAAATTAAAAAACCCTAATTGTTAAGTACAGTTGTTACAGTTCTGCTTCCTAGCTTAATGTTCTTTGTTTAAGTATTTGTATAGTGCTAGATGTCAGTCATTCTTTTTAATAGAAACATGTTCACATGAAATAAAATGAATTCTAGTTTCTTCTAAGAAGATTGCTGCATTATTAAAAAATAAGTACTTAGTTTGTTTTATGCTTGCAATAAATAAAGTATCAGTATGTGCTGTAGGATTGCTGTTGGTTGCTAAGTGTATTCCATAGCATATATAAATTTCTGTTTTAGACTCGTGAACAGGAAGAATTGGAGGAAGCTTTAGAGGTAGAACGGCAGGAAAATGAACAAAGAAGACTATTTATACAAAAAGAAGAACAACTGCAGCAGATTCTAAAAAGGAAAAATAAGCAGGCTTTTTTAGATGAACTGGTATGTATTAATATTACTTGTGATTAAAAAAATTAGTCTTCAGGATATACCTTTATTATTTATTGTGTTGGATAATGACATTTAAATGGCATTTCCACAGTGTGCTGTGGTTTACATTTAGTTTAGGTGATTATTTGTTGATATCATTAAGTCTATTGCTGAATAAGAAATTATACTCTCCCCCAAATTAAAAAGAAAAACCAAATAAACCACTATCAACAGAATAACATTCTTTTATACTCATATTTCTGTGGGACGAGAATTCAAATGGGTCTCTGGGGCTGTTCTCCTCCCATGTATTCTCAAGGTACCTCCCTAGGTGGTTTTTATAGCTGTGTAGTTGGGACTATAGGAGGGAATATTCTAAGAATAAAGAAGTAGAGGCTGGTAATGTATTAAGAAGTAGAAGCGGGAGCTGAGGTCGTGGCTAAGCGGTAGAGTGCTCGCCTAGCATGTGCGAGGCCCTGGGTTCAATCCTCAGCGCCACATAAAAATAAATAAATAAAATAAAGATATTGTACCCATCTACAACTAAAAAATAAGTATATGTAAAAAAAGAAGTAGAAACTATTAATGTATTAAGACTTGGGTTGAGAAATTTGTGCAGGATCAATTTCATCATATTTATTAGTAAAAGAGCCCATTCAGTTTCAGGAGGAAGGGATATAGATCTTACTTCTGGTGGGAGGATTATGGCCATCTTTAATCTACATAGTATGTGCTTGGAAAAAAAATTCTCAAAATTGAATGTTGTGGCTTTGTGCTAAGGTTTATAATAACTCTGGTTACTCTGATATAACTTGATTTCATATTTTATATGAGAAAACAATATTTTTGGAAGAAGTGTTGTTACAATATTAGTGTTTTCTAGCAATCAGCTTCGTAAGTAATTGTTGTTATAATAGCAATAATTAGTAAAGTTTGTGATGTGTTTTATAGATTTGATACTGTATTATAACTCTGATGCTTATAATCCTGTATAATATTGATAACATCCCAAACTAGAAGACCTTCCTCTCTAGGAAAGTCTTTTTATATTCTTCCCTTCCCATTTTTGTCCACATAATGAGTTATTTATTCAGTGTTAACACACTTATCACATCTAATTGATATGTTGTTATTCTCTGGTGAGATAAATATATATGATATATTGTTACATTGTGCTTTTGTCCCCAAAAGCATCTAATCCAGTTAATCAGGAATAAAAAGAGAAAGCAAAATTACTTAATTTTAGAAATAGATAAGAAAGGAAAAATAAGAGATTAATGAGGTTTAGACAGAAAATGTTTATCATAAAATCCTATCTAATTTCTGTGAGTGGAATGTGAATATTATTATGAAAATGAGGGCAGAAGCATATAAAATAGAATAATGGTGTTTTCCCTAGCAACTTTCATTAGTTCTTTCTTAAAGTTATTAAGTGGAAAGTATGGCTTTAGAAGCTGAAATGATACCTGTTGTGTTTTGCATTTTTGTAGATGTGTTTGGTAAGAAATTGAAAATTTTAAAGGATGAATTAGTAAATATCAATTTTTATAGTTATTTTTTTTTCCAGGTTCATAATTTATTGTACAAATTGAATATTACATGATGAGTTGACATTAGCTTCTCCAGGGATGGGAACTTAACAGATGAGGTCACACATTTTAGAATCCATTTATGTTGCTTTCACAGCTGGAGTTTTTTTAGATCTTAGCTTGAAATATATTGAAAGATTCTTCCCCAATCATGTTATACAAAGAGGGAAACACTTTTTTGGGGAATAATGCTTGTCTTTATAGATAGTTGAATTAATACCAAGTATAGAAATTTGAGATTACATGAAAATATACTTTTAGTATTTTATGTCTCATTAATAGAAAGGGTTTTCAGATTTCATTTTGAAGTTAGCTAGCTTTGCATAGCAATCATTCTTGCATATTTTTTTGTCCTTAAAAGTACTAAAGTTTGCTGCCTCATTGAGCTGCTGTTGGCATGAAGCTCCCCTTTAATTCAGTGAGGCATGAAGTATGATGTGAAACTGCCAATGTACATTGTATATAATCTGGAGTTAATATTGGTTTTTGTGAGTCCTTCCCCCCACTTCCTGTTTTCTTCACCTGCAAGTCATTACCACACATACTTTGCTCACTATTTAGGTCATATAACATAGTGGTTAAATAATTCTTAGTAATTTGCTGTATTCATTAGTACAATTAATTGCAACAGATTGGTTTAGAATACCACTGTAGTTGGATTTCTGGTTTCCATTTTAAAATTTATTTTTAAAGATTCTTCATTACATTAATATTTCAATCTTTATTAATATTTTCATTATAAATATTAACATAAATTTCTCATATCTTTTTGAACCCTATTAAATAATGTATTTCTTCTGTATGTGTTTATGTGTTAGATTTTATTAAGAAAGAAAATAGCTAGCATTATATTTGTAAATATATCTAGCCTTGAGTCTTAGCATTATTCCATGAACCTAATTTATACAAGTACTACTTACTAAATTTTTTTTTCCTTTGTTTTTGAGTTTAGTTCTTGTGCCAAAAGCCACTTTTTAAACTTTAAAGAGCAATGGCATTACATTATACTCTATGTGACAGGATTTTAATGTTATGGTCTTAATGTTTATGGCTTAGCATTTGCCATAATATTGGCTAAAAAGTCCATTTATTTAATACTAACTGTAAATTTAAATTTTTTTAATGGTTTGGAAAGAGATTTTTAATCAGGTCCTGTCTTATTAAATCTTTTTATATTCCCATTTGAAAATTTTGTTCAGTTTATATCTTAAATTTTGTATGGGCTAATATTGTTGTCAAATGCAGTAGCTGATTTTTATTAGAAATATTGTTTGCCAGATGGCTTGCTTAAAGTCAGTTAAAATAATCTTTTAAAAATGGTCATTATGAAGCTTTTAATGAGTATCACAGGCAGTCTTATTAAAGTTTCTTTAAATATTAAACATTGTCCCTTCGGGCAGTTATAGGTTATGGAAACTTTCAATGCAAAATGTAATACTAAGAAGTATGAAATAACTTGAAAGATGGAATTTACATGTTATATATTCCTCAGAGTGTATATTTTTTACATAGTTTATTTTACCCTATAGATATTTTTTGTGGTCATGCATGATTCTAGTTTTAACACTCACAAAGGCTTTCATGCTTCAAGAGTTTTTAGTACTAAAGTAGAAAGAATTAAGTTAGATTTAAAGTAAATTCTATGCTTTAGTATTAAAATTAATTTTAGATACCTAGAATGTTTATTTTTATTCCTTTTATATGAATGTGAAACCAGGATTGAAGTAAACTGGCTTAATTAGCAATTTTTTTGAAGTGAACATGTTATCTTGCTTTCATATAAATAAGTTTTGCTTTTTAGAATATATATCAGTTGTGGATGAGCATATACTTTCTAAGTTGGAGAGTAATGATTTAACTTTTTAGCTAAGATAATTTATATTTCCTCTGTTAGTTTCTACATATGAAAAGGTGGAATGGCTTTTAAAAGGCTTTTTAGGTCTTAGTCCAGTTAAAAAGTTTTTTAATTTAAAATGCTTAATGGAAATCTAAAATAGCTTCAGGGATTCATAGTCCTGTTACTACTGCATTACTAATGCTTTGTTGTAGATATTCAAGCATATTCTTCTACAGTATTTCACTAACTCCTTCATTATTGCTAAAAGTAGGTCTCAATGATTTTCTCTCTTAATAAGGATACATTTTATAAGTAAAATTTGTATACTTCCATTAACTTTTTTTTTTTTTATATTGAGGATTTAATCCAGGGAAGCTTTATCACTGAGCTACATCCCCAGTTCTTTTTTATTTTTTATTTAGGCTCTCACTAAGTTACTTAGGGCTTCACTAAATTGCTGAGGCTGGCCTGAAACTTGCAGTCCTCCTGCCTTAGCCTCCTGAGGTGTTGAGATTACAGGCTGTATTTACTTTTAGAAGTGTGATCCTCATGATATTCCTCTTGCAAAGCACTTCTGTTACAAAATTGTGTTATGCCAACTTTATTCTAGGATGATACTCTTGAATTAAATTGCTTGTTATTTTGAATTACTTACACACTGGAACCTTAAATAATTGCTTTTATTAGCTCCATTTGTGCCTAAAAATTATTAAGTGGTATTGTGAAACATTAATTGTAGAGTTTCTTCAAAATTAAATTCTGGGTGGTGACTATTTTAAAAATCTGTACTCCCACACCCCTACCTCCCCCCCCTCCTTTTTTGCAGTGCTGGGGATCAAATTTAAGGGTCTCATTCATGTTCCAAGCAGTCTATGACTAGGCTATACCTCCAACCCTATCTATAGCCCATTTTAACAATATGTTTTCATAAATAATCTTGGTATAGGAGATAAGAATGTGTACTTTCGTATTTGTTTACAGATATGGAATATGTATGTGTGTGTGCATGTGCGCACACGTGTGTATGTGTGTCTGTGTTTATGTGTCACAGGGAGGGAAAAAAGATCACCTTCTCTCTAGACCTACCTCTGCATATGTTTCTTGGTTATTATTTAACTGACAAGTCAGAAAAAATTTGTATGTAACTTAGTTTAGATATTAGCTTTGCAGCACTTCAAACATGTAAGACGTCTTCATGTGTAACAGGATAAATAACAGTACGTGTAAGAATCAGTCAGAGATTTGCTTGTTTTAATTAAATATGTGTGTGTGTAGATTTGTGTACATGTTGATCATGGTTTATTATCAATATAGGATATTAAAAATGTTTATAATTTTGTTACTTAATTAAAAAAATTTAGATTTAATTTTTAAAAGTTAGTAAAGAAGAAAATAAAAATACATTTGATTGTACATACAATAGATCCATTGTGCAAAATAGAGCAAGGATCATTTCCAAACAGCCTTAGGTGAAATCTAATGGGAAACAATTTTAAATTGGTCTGAAATCACTGGTAAAAAGAATGTGTCTTAGGTAAACATCTGATCTAAGTTATAGTACTTTGTACTACTCTTTCTGTGATTAGCTTCTTTTTTTTTAATAAATACAGTTGGTGGCTAGATGAAATATGACCCTATTATATTGTCTTTAATGTGGATTTTATAAAAATACTTGTTTGCGGGTTATTTTGATTTATGAGTCTACAACAGCCTTTTTTTATTATGGAATGTTAATATTTTCTGTAAAGTGTTCTCCAGAAAGTGAATATTTAGTCCAATATCAAATACTTACGGAAAAGGCTTACTTTAAAAGTTTTGTTCCTATTTAGCTTGTCCTTTTTAACTTTCATATTGAACTTGAACTTTTCTTATAGGAGAGTTCTGATCTCCCTGTTGCTCTGCTTTTGGCTCAGCATAAAGATAGATCCACCCAATTGGAAATGCAACTTGAGAAACCTAAACCTATAAAACCAGTGACGTTTTCTACAGGCATCAAAATGGTAAGCCTTATTTTAATTGCTTATTTAAAAGATATTTTCAGAGATTATGCTTTATAATTCAATATTAATTTCTCAGTAAACGGAAAGGTACAGATGTTTAAGAACAAGATCTGATGTAGATTAGATGTTTGCAAATATGGACATGCACATTGTAAGGAAAGTGAATATTTAGCAAGTATAAACACAGTTTTATTGAGTGTGATATTAGATTTGTATTTTTTTTTAATCTTGTAATTTAGGAAAATATTTTTTAAAAGAAAATGCTTAGTCTCATTAAGGAAGTATTTGATGATATAGAATAGGAAAACAAATATCAATTTGTATTTCTCTGCAAACAATTCTCTCTCTCTGTCTCCCTCCCTCTCTATATAGATAGGTAGATACTTTTTTAGAAGCCATTTTTAGCTTCTAGATTGTTGTAAGGATAAACTAATTTGAAATTAAAAAATATTTTAGCTATTCATTTGAAAGAAAGATTTTATTCGGTTATTTCTTTTGGAATTGTATGCTTTGTCATATTAGTTTTAATATGTATTTAACATCCAGATTTTTGAGATAGAGCTATTGTAAAATATATAACTTTTATATTAGTGAATTAATTTAAAATAGTGAGTGTCATTATAGTAGTATAAAAATGTGGCAGCATTTTGAAATTGTAGTTAAGATAGTCAACTAGTTTTGTAATACAGTAATTCTTCTTGTATTTAGTATGTCTGTACACACAAATTCTGTGTAACACTTTTAGATTTTCCTCTTTTTCTCCAAATGTTTCCTTTAAAATATAAAACTAAACCAACCAAAGCTTGTAGGTTACTAACTTTTTGTGAAATGATTATAGGGTTTAATTTAATATTATGTAGTATCAAGTTTAGAGAATAACATTTCTTATTTAATCTTGCTATGCTAAGTTATGCTCTCTGTATTTTTCTTTCTCTTGCTACCATGGTCCCATTATTATTAACTCTTGAGCATTCTTTTATATTAAGACTTACAATCATTGTATTAAAATTATCAGTTCACCTGTCTCATTATCAATCTATAAGCTTCTAGAACTGACACCTAATAAGCTTTTCATGAATCTTGGCTAGAAGCCTAGGTAATTGAGTGAGGGATGGATGAACAAATAAATAGATAATTGATTAGAATAGTACCTGAGTTTATATATTACATCAACCCTTTAGTGAATTATAATGCATATATGCTTTTTTTTTATATTTTGCTCACTGAAACTATTTTTATTAATTTCATGAGGTGGATTTTTTTTTTTTTTTGCAAATGTCTAACATCAGGAAGCAGTAAAAATAAGAGCAACAGAAAATGTAGAATAGTTTTGCCATAGTTACTGTTCAATAGTGAATGAGTGAAAAAATGTGTTAGATTATTAAATAAATACATTTCTTCATCTCTTGGAAAGTATCTTGGGTACTTCTCTGTAGTCACTTAAAACCAAGTTGGCACATTCTTTTCTAGATGCACTCTGTCTGTAACTTACAACCAAACTGTGTTTTGCTTATGTTGTGGTTGCGGTCAGATTCTCTAATAAACTACGTAAGAACTCATGGAATGAAGAATTGAATTTTCACTTTTTTACCCTGGCATTACAATACTCAGGCTGATAGAGTTTGCAGATTTTTTGGTTGACATTTTTCATTATATGCCTGCATTTCAAAGCTATTGTTAATACATGCAATATTGAAATGGCTGAAGTTAGCTGAAAACATTAGTCAAGTCAATGATTTTCAGTATGCAGTCCTATGCTTAGATGACACACAAAGCTGTACGTTTCAGGTACATATCCTCTGTTATAAGTTGAATGTGATTAGTGTATAGGAATCAGTATTTCAAAAACATTATCAAAATACATTTCTTTTTTAAATTGATTTTATTTTTTAAATACATAGCAGTGGAATGCATTACAATTCTTATTATACATATAGAGCACAATTTTTCATGTCACTGTTTATATATAAAGTATGTTCACATCAACTCATGTCTTCATACATGTCCTTTGGATAATAATGTCCATCACATTCCACCATCCTTGCTAACCCCCTGCCCGCTCTCTTCCCCTCCCACCCCTTTGCCCTATCTAGAGTTCTATATTCCTCCCATGCTTCCCTTCCCTACCCCACTATGAGTCAGTCACCTTATATCAGAGAAAACATTTGGCATTTGTCTTTTTGGGATTGGCTAATTTCACCTAGCATTATCTTCTCCAGTGCCATCTATTTACCTGCAAATGCCATGATTTTATTCTCTTTTTATTGCTGAGTAATATTCCATTGTGTATATATACCACATTTTTTAATTCATTAATCTACTGAAGGGCATCTAGTTTGATTCCACAGTTTAGCTATTATGAATTGTGCTGCTATAAACACTGATGTGGCTGTGTCCCTGTAGTATGCTGTTTTTAAGTCCTTGGGGTCCTTGGTCTGTACTCAAAGTACATTTCTAATTAGAAATAATATTCTAATTTTTAAAGGCCAGGGGCTATTTTTCTTTGTTTGACCTCAACAGATAAGGTCACATATATCATACTTTTATCATTGAAGTTAATAATATATTGCTTCCATTTTTAACAAATGTATAGTAGCTGCTGTTATTTTCCAGTTCCCTTTCTTTTATAGTATATATAATACTGAAATAAGATCTGGCTTAATCTTAACTAGAAGATGCAATAGTTCATCTTAAGTTTTTTGTAACTCTTTAAAATAATTTTTTTTAGTTGCTAACTACAGTAGTTTGAAAATCTATATGATTCAATAGTAAGTTGGTTGTACCTCCAAATATGTATTCTGATTTCATCAATTTGTCCCCATCTCTGTTATCCTACACTAGTTACCATCATGTCTTTCTTGGACTCCTGTGGTAATCTTCCATCTTATCTCTCTATTCTTCTTTATAATCTGTAACCTTTTTATGGTTCCCCAGATGGATTGATGATGGTAAATAAACAATGAAAATATGAAAACATCACCTCCTTAATGTATTTCATTGCTTTTCCAATATATTTAGAATAAATTCCAGAATATTAATCAGTCACTTTCTCATCTGTAAGAAAGTGATATTTGTACCGAAAAGTGAATGGTGAAAATGAGTTAGCCAAGTAAAAATCCCAGCAGAGAAAAAGAAAAAAGCAATAGCAAAAAACTTAAGGTAAGAAACAGATGTATTAACAGGTAGTGTTAAACATTAAACTTTTCACTGTCCAAGCTAAAGCATCTTTCTCTTATCCCTACCCCTGTTATTTAATACCTTTTAACTCTTTAAAACATATATCACTATTAGAAGATATTTTATAGACACATTGTTTAATGTTTATCTCTACCATTAAATATAAACTCTGTGAACCTAGAGCAAGGTGTGTTTCTAGCACCTAGAATAGTGTCATATACATCATGGTTCTTCTTGAAGTATTTTTGGATGAGTGAATGAATCCTACATATTAGGTTTATACTGAATTTTTAGTCTGAAGATCCTGATGTACTTTTCTTTATTCTGTTTGAGATGATGTAGCAAATGTATTTATTTGTGTATATTGAACTGCCTTTATATCCCTGGAATAAATTCAGATATGCTATTGGATTCAGTTTGCCAGTATATATATATTTTTTAAAATTTGCCTCTATATTCATGAGGGATATTAGTATGTAATTTCCCTTTTTGTGTCTTTGTCTGGTTTTGGCATCAGGGTAATATTGGTTTTATAGAATGGTTTGGAAAAATTCCTCTTTTTTTTTTTTTTTTTAAGAGAGAGAGAATGAATTTTTTTTGTAGATGGACACAACACAATGCCTTTATTTTTATGTGGTGCTAAGAATCGAACCTGGGTCCCTCCTGTGCTAAGCGAGCACTCTACTGCTGAGCCACAATCCCAGCCCCTCTTTTTTTTTTTAAACACTTTTTTTTTTTAATAGTTTGAAAAGAATTGGTATACATTTGTCTTTAAAATTTTGTTAGAAATAGTAAGGAAGCCACCCAGTCCTGGGATATTCTTTTTTGAAATTTTATTAGGGATTTGATTTTATTGCTCATTAATACTCTGTTTAGGTTTTTGTATTCATTGTTGGTTTTGGACACTGTAAGTTGGCAGGCTGTATGGAGGGCTCTCCCGGAGGCCAGGACTACCACCTAAGTAGCCATTGGGCTAATTACAAGTACACTGGAGCAAGTTGGGCCTACCATTTCTTTGCTAAATTTTCTAGAAGGATGCCTGGCCACCTGTTGGACTGAGTGCAGGTGAATGTAGGTTGCCAACTGTCTTGTTTTCCCTTTTGTGCAATTATTCCTATTCCCTGAGGGGATCAGATGCTGTTTGGATTTTTAAGCTAAGATTTTTTTGCTGATTTTAGCCTTCAAGCATTTGGGGTTTTGGTGTTGTAACTATTAGACATTAGCTTGCTAGAACACAGGTAGAATACAATGGAAATATACCATGACTAGCCCCCAAGTTGACACAAACTCTAGCAGTCAGTCTGGTTTTAAAATGGCACCCAGTTGGGGTTGGGTGGTAGAGCATTTGCTTAGCATGTTTGAGGCATGGGTTTGATTCTCAGCATTGCATATAAGTAAGTAAAATAAAGGTCCATTGACAACTAACTAACTAAATAAATAAATAAAAGGCATAGAGCCATGGCAACTTGGTTATGGGGGTTGGGAGAGAGTATAACATGGACTTCTACTCTATGGCTGATGAATTCCATGCTACTCTTCACGTTTTGTTTGGGGATTCTAGGGACTGCAGAAGTCTCTTGAATAGTTGTCTCCATTAGCAATGAGGATTATACAGGATATATTTAGAAGGCTTATGTGGTTTTAAGCCAGTCTGGGTTGGGAAGCAAATATGGAAGAGATAGGGTGCTTTACTCTTTTCTCTATGGTGTTACCTTAGGTTTTTGATCCCCATAGGGATCTTGGTACTTCCCCTTCCATTTTCGAGCATAGTTCCCTGTATTCTGTCAAAATTGGTTTGTTTATTCTTTGAGGGAATCAAAAAA